TTCACATTCTGAACTATAGCAGCAGGCCACACAGCAGTGGCAAAACAGGCAGTGGCAGCAGGAACAGGTAGGTGGTGGTAGCAGCAGTGGCAGGGCAAGGTGCCTCTTCCCATTTTGCTTCAAGTGGCGAAATGGGTTGTGTCATCCCTGCCCATCATGCCTGATCACTGGCAGGGCTGATTCACTCATGAGGTGGCTGAGGTAGTCTCCTCAGGCGGTAGATCACTAAGAGGTGGTGCCTCAAATGGTGCCCGCCCCCCTCCACCACCGGCAGAGAAGCAGCTGTGGCTTCTATCAAGGTCTCATGTGCTCCATGAAATCTCACAAGATCTCACTGGAACGTCTTTCATATGTGGTGGCCCTGTAAAAAGGGTAAAAGGGTATTGGGAAATAATTTATAATGAATTGGAAAAAATGTTTTAAAGCACTTTTCAAAAAGAGAGAGAGAGAGTCCTTTTCGTTGGGGATAAATCAGATGGAAATTTCCAGGTGTCAAGAAAGATTATTTATGTATGCCACTACTGTGGCCCGTGTTTCGTTAGCCCAAAAATGGAAAACGATTGAGGTCCCAGCTTAAGAATAATGACAACTTAAACTGATGGAATACGACACAGGATGAAAACCACACCTTGGCTTACTCTTTCTTCAACATCAACGCCCTTTCTGTTCCCATTTTCATGGTCCTATTTCGTCAATTAAGCTTTCTTAAATTCAATCTCCACCCCCATTGTTCAGCCCGGACACTGAGGTCCAGCTCCGAGGGCCTTCTGGCAGTTCCCTCACTGAGGGAAGTGAGGTTACAGGGAACCAGGCAGAGGGCCTTCTCAGTGGTGGCACCTGCCCTATGGAACGCCCTCCCATCAGATGTAGAGGAAATAAACAACTATTTCCTGAAGGCAGCCCTGTTTAGGGAAGTTTTTTATGTTTGATGTTTTATTGTGCTTTTAATATTCTGTTGGGAGCTGCCCAGAGTGGCTGGGGAAACCCAGCCAGATGGGCAGAGTATAAATAAAATGATAATGATGATGATGATGATGAATTTCCTTCCTTCCTTCCTGGGCAGGATGGTCTCCCTGATTTATATACCTGCTGTGATTGACAAGGCATATGACCCCCACCTGAATCTCATAGCTCTCCTGACAGGTGATTTGGTCTGCAGTCACAGTGTGGAAATAAAGGAGGAGATAACAGGCCCACCAGATAACAGGCACTCTATTATTCTAATTAGGCCCGAATGTTTTTCTTACAACCCCCTTGTCAATTAATTAATCGATTTTAATTTAGCATGTAAATTCTCAAAACTTTCTTATTTGTTAATTCAACTACTGCTCTCACTTCATTACAAACAGTATTTCTACCAAAACACACTTGAGCAAACCTGCTCCTCTTCCTTTCACAGATATTTTGTTTCCATTTGCAACTGTACCTGCCTCTGATGAGTTATCATTTTACTCTTTGTGGGGGGGGGGTGGATTAGCATCAGACGTCCTGTGCATGGAAGTTGCCAAATCAATTAACCAACTAGAAGGGTTACTGTTAATAGCACCAGTTTTCCTATAACTTGATATTGCTGGATAGTTCTGATGAACTGCAAAAGCATTTTTAGTTTGCTTTCTGTTGCCACCCTGGAGCTTTTCTTTATTAGTGCCACTTTTCTTTTCTTTATTTATTCTTTTCTTTATTAGTGCCACTTTGTTAGTGCCACTTTAGAGCTTTTCTTTATTAGCTTTTCTTTATTAGTGCTACTTTGGCACGCCGAGGATACGCAGCGCAAACAACACCCATGAAAACCTGGTACCCGTCCAACCAATTCTCAAAGGTGCGCTCCGCCCTAGGGGTCCTGTACCTCCCTTTACCAGAAGATCGCCTCTTTTCACCTTTTCCCATTAGCTTAGTGGGGGGGAGCAAGGTGAACATATCCACATAATCGCCGTTGAGGATCTTATTCCTCTTCTTCTGGGATAGATGATTCCCCAAAATAAAATCGGTGGACTGATTGGTGGCAACCTTTACATCCTCCACCAGAGCCCCGTCTTTCCAGTCAAGCACCCCATTGAAAGTTTTACGATGTGAATTGGCTCTCCTTTCATGCGCCCATAGAGGGATCCCGTGATTCCCCTCACCTAAACCCCAGTAGCTATCCATGGGGCCATCGCTATCCGAATCGGAAGATGACGTACCTGACTCGTCCTCCGTCTCGGACTGCTTACTTCTCCTCTTCTTGGAAGACGTGTGCTTCTTCTTGGCTTTGCGCTTGCCGCCTTGCTTCTCCATGGTGGCCGCGTTCCCTTCAGACGCAGGCTGAGGAACTTGAGATTCCCTTTGCTCTTCCTCTAAGCCGGAACCCTCACTGTCCTCTGTAGAGCTTTGCTGGGACTGCTGTTCCTGAAACACGCTAGGAATGTCTACTGCCTGTGAGAGGGCGTTTTTACTTAACGCTTTGGCACTGGCCTTACCCTTACTGGGGCCTTTCGCCGCTGGCTTACCCTTTCCCGAGTTTTGGTTTGCTTTCTTAGCCTGAGCACGGGTATTGGGCCGACCCATATTAGACGTTTCCGAGCGGGCGCTGGCCCCTGAAGGACCTGGCAATACCTGCTGCCCTTGCATGTTAGGGGGCGTGTCTGGTATTACATCCTGTGACGGTTCAGGGGCGGGAAGAACCAAAGCACCAGGCCTACATTGCCTGTAAAATGTTTCAAATGCCTGGAAAAATTGAGCAAAGGCTTGTGGATCACAGGGTAAGGCCCCTGTTTGTGCGCCACCGTTACTTGCGCCAGGTGCCTGCTGATTGCCCGAAGTGGATGCCTGCTGTTCCCCACCAGAAGCCATGACCACTAGATGCGCAACCTGAATGATATCGTAGGACTTAGAAACAACTAGTGCCACTACCCTGCACTTTCCAACAGAAAAGGGGGTGGGTCCACCTAGCTCAGTATTGTCTACACCCCTAAGGCTATCTGATGATTAGACTTTATTTTAATATTTCGCTTTATTGGCTTAGCTAAATTGGAGTCGACTCGCTTCTATAATTATTACTTGTTGACCGCTATACCTGGTTAACTGCCGGGCTCCCGGTCGGAATACTGCTTATTTATTTATTTTTGTTACCTGCTTTATTGATTATTTATTGTTAATGTTATTACTATTATTATTATTTATTATTATTATTAATTAATATTATTATTATTTAAAATAATACTAATATTATTCTCTTTTAATATCAGTATGTATCTGGGTATGTGTATATGTATGTATGCTCTATTTATTGTATTTTTATTATTATGCTAAAATTATTATTATTAGTATAATTATTATTATTAAATTATTATCAGTAAAGGTAATCAAATTATTGTATGTTTATTTTTGTTTACCCAATTAAATTCCGTTCACCTAATGAATTGCTTTCACAAATAAAGGAACAGGAAATTAGACGTCTTTTTGAATCACTGGAATTAAATAATTAACTCAATTACCTTTGCCCCCAGAGCCCCAACGCCTCACGAAGGCGGCACAATAAGCAGGGGAAAGAAAGAGTAGCAGTACCCGAAACGCACGACTATCGTCCCACACCTAGCCCTAGAGCCGAACCTTAAAGCGGAGGAACAAGCTAAGCGGTTTGAAAAGCAAGATAAAATATAGAAGAAAATAAGCAAGCTACCGACTTGTGTTCCGAATTGCTGGCAGTGTGTAGCTGCAAGTCAGCCTGTAAAATAGGGCTCCGGTAAATAGCGACTTGCTTCCTGCCCTACCAAGATGGCCGCTCTGGGCCGACCACGTGGCCACTACCAAAATGGCGCTTGCCAAGGAATACGAATACTGGATGCCCCACTCAAAATGGCGGCCGCGTCGCACCCGGGCCACGTGGTCTGAAGGGATGGCCTAAGAAATGGCCGTTACCCTAGCAACGCATAAACCGCCTGCAGGAGAATAAACCAGCCTTAAAGATAAACAACCTCCTGAAAGTAAATATTATTACTGCGCAATGGCAACCACTTGGTTCTATAACCGCGAGACTAATGCGCGCACCTCCTGGCAGCGCTGGAAAGCAAAGCCCCCCCCCCAAATTAGAGAAATAAAACAAAGCAAAAAGATCCCCGCAGCCAAACCTCGACCTTCCTGATTCACACACTCCGAGTCCTGCCGATCAGAAATACAGCGCTGGAACGGGAGCACACTGCACGGATCCTCCGCGAACTCCGCTCTTCTCAGTGAGCGCCGACGAGTGAAAAAATCAGCCCAACAAAGCAGCGTCGCGGTCGCTCCGCGGACCAGGGCACCAAGGCAGCCGAACCAGCCGAATACAAAGAACAATCTAAGCTCCTTTTGTCTTGCTGCTCTATTAATCTCAGTTGCAGGCCTCCACGTGTGGCGATCCTCAGTGCTGTTTGAAGCAGGAAGGGACACAAGGCGAAGAAAAGAAAAACGACGAGAGCTCCTCAAAGAAAAATTCTTCTCGCAGCTGCCGAGGGGAAAGAGGGCGGTCCCCGGGCGTGCCTGGCCTTAAGTAGGTTGGGCCACGCCTCCCCAGCCCGCCGATTGGCGGGTCGGGTCGCAGCCACGCCCGGGGATTCCCTGAGTCTCGCGGGGGCCAGGCCCGCCCCCGCGTGTGTGGGAGGAGGGTTGCCCGCAACCCCCTCTCCTCCAGAAGTCGGAAATGGCT